GCACACAGAAGCCCTTTGTGGTGCAGGCTGCTCCGTGCACAATGGAGTGACTCCAGCTCTGCAAAAGGTGACCTCACCAAGGATGATGTCACCATCTTGAAAGAAAGATAAATAACGCACGGCCATGTGTTACAATCTGAGGAACTAGGACTACGAAGGTGAGGTCATCTTCTAAAAATACGCGAACACTTGGGGGACTGTACACGGTGTTTTGCATCTTTCCTTAAAAGCTGTAACAGCTGCCTCCTGGCCGTGGACAGCTATTGTTTTAGTCCAGTGTTCCCTCCGACAAACAAAATGGACCGAGATTTACAATTATAAAGAAACTAGACGCCCTACCACCGTAGATTGGTTTAGTTATTCACAGTGTTTCCATCGTGTTTGATAACAAGAAAGAAACGTGTGCGGCAGAGGGAACACTGGCTGTAAACACATCAGAGTTAGTACTTTCCACCTCTTCTCACGTCGCTGTAACAGACACCCCACTCACCAGCTCCAACTCCTCTTCCTCCGACTGCGCTCGCACAGAGAGGGAGAAGAGAGTTAGAAGCGGCTGGTACTCCGGGGAACAGTCTTTCTTTAGGGAACATTACGCGGGCGCGAGCGGGTGCTAGAAACCCGACAGGGATCACTGCGTAGGCAGCACCCGGAAGTGACTTATTGTCGGTACTTGTGGACGTCAGGCGCCTGGGAAGGTGCCTGTCAATTCCCCAAGGCCAGGTTCAGAGGCGTGTCTCCCCAACTCCATCTACCCTTCTGGCTGCGTCTGGGCACAGGCTGCTGCCACAGGGTTTGAGGGCCTCGGCCGGCCGGCGGGGCATCTGGATGGAAAGCCCTCCCCTTTGCTCTAGGACTCGGCGTCTGGGCCCTGGCTCCCCGCACCAACCCCGCTGCTTCCTCCCTCCACCAGCCCAGGCCGCTCCTGGGTGGATGAGCTGCGGGTGTGGGCGCCCACCCGCACTAGGGACCCCGATGGAGGCTCTCTCATTCCGAAGCCTCAGAGGGCGCGTCAGCGGCCACCCAGCCCCGAGGGCACCTGGGTGCTGGCAGGCAGCGCCACACGGAGCACCGCTGGAAAGCCTGCGTGTACAACGTCTTTTCTACAGAGACGGGGGGGACAGACACCCTCTCTCCGCTCCCAGACCCGGGTGCAGAAGTGAGCGAGGCTGGGACTGCAGACCCCGCCAGCGGCTGGGCCGGGGAGACTGTATTCTTCATAGACTCAAATGGGAAGGATTGTTTTTGAGAAGAAATAAAAAACTTACTGGCAGAATAACTCTTTCACGTTTTTATGCATTCTGCCCTGTTCCACCTCAGCTCTCCCTGGCGTGCAGAACTTGCTAACAAACAATAGTGTTTCCTCACAGAAAGCAGGCACAGTAAGTGACTAAAAGGAGGCCCTCCACAGAAAAATCGCCTCTCCCGACGGAGCTTTGATTTAAATCGCCGTTACGCGGGTTTCTTTCCTGGTTCTCCATACTCTGATCTCTGTGCACTTAAAATTGACCTGTTCCTTCAAATGTTAACTTCACATAGAAATAACCATTAGGAACAAGTCCAGATTCTAGGGATATGAACATTCCTAAAGAAAATATAGACCGAGCCCGGCTGGCGTGACTCAGTGGTTGAGCATCCACCCAGGAACCAGGAGTTCAGGGTTCCAGTCCCCGTCAGGGCACACGCCCGGGTTGCGGGCTCGATCCCCAGTAGGGGGCGTGCAGGAGGCGGCCGATCCATGATTCTCATTATAGATGTTTCTCTCTCCCCCCCCTTCCTCTCTGAAATCAATTAAAAATATTTTTTTTAAATAAAGGAAGTATAGACCGAGTGTGTGTAGAATGCGTGCCCTAAAGAACAAAACTGAAGGAAAGATTGACGTACCAGGGGAGGCATCATGCCCTTGCTGGACGGAGGGATGACGACGCGAAGGTCTGGTTTCCGACTGTTCATACCAAGACTGCCGCCACCTGGAGGGGGGGGAGACTTTGTAGGCATAACTCTGCCTAAGCTATTCGCACCCGTAGTTCCAATTAAATTTGGAGAAGCTCTTGAGTTTACAAAGCCATTCCCTGGAAAAAAGAAATATCACTCATTAACATTAACAGAGTCATCCACGTACTTGGGTGTGAATATGAAGCAAGCTTTCCCCAGTTCTGATTTCAGATGAGTCCTGTCAGAAAGCTCATTAGTAGCTCACCGTGTACCTTTGAACATTTTTAAAATAAGCAGAGGAACTTGACCAAAGTGTGACAAAGATGTAATGCTTAAGCTCAATGTACTACTGTATTTCACAAACTAGAAAAAATATCCCCAAAATGTACATGGAACCACAAAAGACCACAAATAGCCACTGCAATCCTGAGAAAGAAAACGCAGCAGAGGTATCACGCTACCTGGTCTCAGCCAGGATACCAGGCTGTAGGAATCCAAGCAGCATGGCCCTGGCATAAGAGCTGACATGGGGCGCATGGGACAGTAGAGACCCCCCCATAGGTGCGGCCTAGGTGGTCACTGAGCCCGTAACAAAGGAGGCAAGGACACGCAGTGGGGTAAAGGCAGCCTATTTGGTGGGTGGCACTGGGAAAACTGGACAGACACATGCAAAAACACTAGACGCCAGCTTACACGACACAAAGCTGACCAAAAAAGAAAACATTCGGAACAGTGACCTCGAAGTTCCTGGAGGGCTGAGGGCCCCCGAATTCTCTGCTGGACTTGGCGTTGGCACAACTGTAGCAGCATCTCAGCTCCCACAGAGAGCTACCTGCACGATGTGGAAGTAAACGTTTACCCCGATTATGTGTGGAACACGCAGGGGAGGGCGTAGCGAAGAGGAAATCTACAGGGTCTTCACGCAGCTTTGTACTTAGATAAGGGCGGAAGCACACAGTAGGGGCGGAAGCAAGAGCAGGGGCGGAAGCACACAGCAGGGGCGGAAGCACACCGTAGGGGCGCGCACGGAGCTTAGGAGACAGACAGCTAGGCCCGCGCAGGCTGCACTAGGGGCGGAAGCACACCCTAGGGGCGCGCACGGAGCTTAGGAAACAGACAGCTAGGCCCGCGCAGGCCTGGGGCTGTGGGAATGGCTCCGCACAGGCTGCACGGGCAGTGAGTGACAGAAGGCAGGCGCACGGAGCTTAGGAGACAGACAGCTAGGCCCGCGCAGGCTGCACGGGCAGTGAGTGACAGAAGGCAGGCGTCAGGAAAAGGTGGGGACGGGAGGGACAGATAGCGGAGTCCACGGCTGCTCCATGACGGTCACCGGAAACGGCAGCTCTGTCTGCTCTGTTCCTTCCCTCCAGCAGAGCAAGACAGGCAACTGTACAACCCACCACAGGTAAGTGCACACGCACACGCACACACGCACACGCGCACCCATGGGAGACCTGCGAGGACCCGCACCTCAGTGTCTGCCACGTGCTGCCACGGCCCGAACCCCCCTCGCCCGAGGGCACCCTGAGAAAGGCAGCGACAGGCCCCAGGGCACGGCAGTGAGTGAGGTGAGACACGTGCAGCCGCCTGGGCGTTTGTCACCAAGAGCTGGGGAGCTGGTGATGGGGCCGCTTTAATTTCATCAGCGCTTCTTGTGTGAAACAGAAATATTTATAGCCGCTTAAAACATATATAGCGTCTGGCTGTTCATGAAACATTTCAGGAACAGTATGTAAGGAATGAGGTCAACGGACAAATGGATATTCAGTTCTGAAATTAAAAATATATATAACTAGAAAGGGATGGAGTAAGTTCTTGAAGGCAAGTCGAAGAAAACGGGCGCTTCAACAGATCTGCTTATAACAGAGAGCTTGAGAAAGCCATGCCGCTTATTACTGAGACACTAAAAAGCGATGTTTTGCCGACAGGACGGAATCCGCCCCGTCGGCTCCGAACCAGCCTAAGGGACCAGCACAGCGGGCGGTGAGCGGGCGCTGGGACTGGCGCATCTCCTTCGCTGTCACTCAGGACATCAGGGTTCCTCCCGCCCCCCTCACACCCCACCGGGCCTCTGGCTTCTCCAGAACTCGGCCTCGTGGCCCTGGCCACAGTGTCTGTGCGACTTCGCCAGCTGTGGGTTTCGGGGACCCTCAGGGCTGTCCCCTGCCGGCTGCTCCCGTCACCCTGAGGGGGACGTACTGGGCCCAGCGAGCCGTTTCCTGCCCCTGTGGCTGCAGAAGCAGGGCGGGTAGGAAGTCTCCCTCAGCCCCCCAGCGGGCAGAGCTCGGCTGTGAGTCGGGCAGAGACAACCGCCGAGCAAGGCATCCGGGTAGGAAACGCTTATCAAATCCTTTCGGTCACAGACAGGACGGGTTCCTAGGACCCAACAGAACGCCGGGTTAACGTGAGCAGTGAGCTCAGCAGCCTTTCCTTCATGAAGTAAGGGCACGATGTCTTTTCTAGTCTCTGATCGCACTTGGGACATGCTTATTTCCTTGCTGTGCACTCCAATCTGAAGGGTCAAGTCCTCTCAAACGTTAGAAGGTGATACAGAGCTAATTCAGAACGTTATCAAGAAGCGCTAGTTCCTCTTCCCCTGTGGGCGCTCTGAGGCCGTTCGGCTGGACAGGGCGGCGGGTACCCGGGGGTCCAGGTAGGAGAGAGAAAGGGACGGGGGAGCGCGGGGGACGGGAGGGAGACGGGGACGGGAGATGTTCCTAGGTGCACCATTCCTCTCTGAAATCAGTAAAAATATATTTACAAAAACGACAACAAAGAACACAGACCCACCCAGTAAAGAG